TTCATCAATGTGGTTTCCCCCGAGCTTATCGTACATCCTCTGTGACATCAGTGTGTAATCTATCGTCTACTGCAGCCTTGCTACCTCCCATGTTATTTTCTCTTCACACTTCTCGGTACTGTTGCAAATGATCAAATCAAGCCTTTCACACATATCCATGATCATTTTGCCTGTCGGGTTGGTATACCCATCTATATCTGTGTGCACATTTATATCTCTTAGTATAATTATATCGCACTCTCCTCCTAACTCCTGAATGTTTTTTCATATACACTGTATTATTGCCTGGTTTTCCTCTCTGGCCTTTTCTCCCGTCCACAAGTACACAAAACCAAGGAGTGTCATTTGCCCGGTCACTTTCCTTTTTAGCCTAAATGTTCCTTGCACTCCTGCTTGACCCTTTGCCAGCCTGTACTTTTATGAATGAGTGCCCCAATACCACCCCCTTTCTGCTGCCTTCTATTCTATTGCAATATTCCCACGTGTAGTCCGGATTGTTAGGAGGTTGTTCCATGTCGCTGAATTGTGTTTCTATAAAACCGTATGTCATCGGCCTCTTATAATAGGCTGGGATTCTCTGTCTATGGCGAACGCTTTCATCTGCTGTCAAGAAAATGTTGTACATATAATAGAAACTGACAAATCCTTAATGCGAATGAAACGCCGGTTCGTCTGCTCGCTGCGGAAGATACCGAGCTACCACCTGGTCACCAGCGAATAGTTACCATCCCTTCTCACGTGATCGACTCTGGTGTCGTGTTTGTCCAACCATCAACACGCTGTCTCGCAAGAGGTATAGTCCTTGCTTCAGGTAAAGCGCGGTTCCACAATGGCTTCGGTCTTCTCTACGCTGCAAACCAGACGTCTGAGCGAATTCTCATTCCTAAAGGCATCACAATGGCTTGCGATACTAAATCGCCTCCTGTCTCTGTTGCCCCGCTTAAGCCAGCGTGTTCTGTTCTTCCTTCTGTTGGACGTTCATCATGCGTTTATGTTCTTGCAGTGACTATAAGTCCAGAGCTGACCTCTTCACAGAGAGATGAATTGCTTTCCTTGCTACAAAAGCATAGAATATTGTTTGGTGCCCATTCGTCATCTCTGGGACAGCCGTTCATTATTACGCATTGTATCCAGACCTATGGCACTTCCATTATACGCCGTCGACCATATCGCGTCTCTTCGTCCGAGCGTGACGTCATTGAACAAAATGTAGCCATTATGCTGCAACAGAACATTATACGTCCCTCTGCGAGTCCTTGGTCATCCCCCGTTGTTTTAGTAAGGAAAAAAAGATGGCTCCATGTGATTTTGCGTGGACTACAGGGCGCCTAATAGATTACCCATAATGATGTTTACCCCATGCCGCGCAGAGTCGATGCTTTGGATTCCCTGCTGTGTGCCGAGTACTTCTCAAGCCTAGATCTGCGTTCCGGTCAATGGAAAATACCCATGCACGAGGACGACAAAGAAAAGACAGCGTTTCCAACACCAGATGGGCTGCACGAATTCAACGTCATGCCATTCGGCCTTTGAAATGCTCCAGCAACATTCGAGCGGATGATTCACACAGTTTTACGATGCTTGGAATGGAAGATTTGCTTGTGCTATTTACACCATATTTCATTTTCTCGTCAACCTTTCCTCAGCACTTGCAACGACAGGACGAAGTTCTCACGTGCTTTGCAAACGCAGGCCTTCAGCTGAACACCAAGAAGTGCCGTTTTGCGAGCAAGACAATTATTAAAGTGTTATGCCTCATCGTAAGCAAGGGCGGTATTTGTCCCAATTCAGACAAAATTTCTAATGTCCAGCACTTCCCGCGTCCTGAAAAAGCCAGACATTTGCGCAGTTTCCTCGTCCTCCCTTCTTATTTTCGCCGATTCATTCGAGACTTTGCTTACATAGCTTCACCAATACGCAAGTTGCTCAAATCAGCCTTTGTGTGGTCTCCTGATTGTGGAGCGACGTTTGCTCAATTGAAGTGTCCACTCACATCCGAACCAGTCCTCGGTCATTTCGATGAAACAACGCCTACGCTTCTGCATACAGACGTTAGTGGTCAGGGCATTCATGGAATTCTCCTACAGCACGTCAGACCTTCACGTGAGAAGGTCGTCGCATACGCGAGCCGTGCGCTGACCCCTACCGAAAAGAATTATACCATCACCGAACAGGAGTGCCTAGTGGTCGTATGGTCAATACTAAAGTTTCAACCTTATCTCCACGGCCGCCACTTTACTGTGGTTACGGACCATCACGCCTTGAGCTCGCTCTCGACAATCAAGAACTTGTCTGGCCGCCTTGATCGCTGGATTCATCGTTTACAAAATATGACTTCACTATTACATACAAGTCGGGAAACAAACATCAAGACGCCGACGTACTTTCGCGTTGCCCGCTCCCTTCAGAGCCACTTAACAAACCCGCCACTGCCGCACTCGAGGAGCTTTCGGCCATCTCTTCTCTACATGTTTTGTCCTAAGCTAGTCTGGACCCAACTTCTCCAAGCTAGTGTGGCTAGTTGTTATCCCACCAACGTGCTGGCCTCACTGTCACCGCACCATGGACCATCGAGACTGGACAGCCCCCTAACGCCCGTGTTCAGCGATAGCCGATGCAATTGACGATTAACAACCACGTCCTGTACCGTCATATCTACCATCCTAATTGTCAACACTGGTGCCCGTTTTACCTTGCTCTATTCGGGCTGAAGTCCTTAAGACATATCAAGACAACATTTCTGCTGGACACATGGGCTTTCAGAAAACGTACGACCGCACAAGAAGTCCCAACTACTGGCCGAGCTTGTCCACCAGTGTTGCGAGTTGTGTTGCTTCATGCGCCCTTTGTCAGCATCGCAAGCTACCTACATGAACTCGAAGTGGACAATTACAACCGCCCCCGTGTCCCCTGCAACTATTTGAGGTAGTTGGCGTTGACATGTATGATCCGCTTCCTATGGCTCTAACGGGCAATCGATGGATAGTTACAACTGTCGACCACCTGACCAGCTATGCCGAAACAGCTCCCGTGCCTTCTGCATCCGCTTCGGAAGTGGCTGACTTCATCCTTCGAGCAATGATCCTTCATCGCGGAGCACCTCGTGTAACCCTGAGTAACTGTGGAAAAGTATTTCTTTCAGAACTCGCCGAAGAACAGCTCATGGCGTCCAGCACTACACACAAAACAAGTTTCAGTTAACATCCTCAGACGAACGGGCTGACTGAGCCCTTTCATCTTACACTGTCAGATATGATAGCCATGTATATCGAACCAGACCACAGAAACTGGGACACCATTTTGCCATTTGTTGCTTTTGCCTATAATACCTCTGTACAGCACACAACCGGTTATTCGCCATTCTACCTCGTCCACGGTCGCTTCTCCTCTTCTTTCCTCGATGTTTCGTTCTCTGCGCCTGTTAAACCAGGTTCATCCTCAAGTGAAGTATACGTGTATCGTCTACTTCATTGCCGCCAGCTGGCTCACGTCAACACTGAAGCCAAGCAACAGGATCGCAAGCTTGAATATGATGCCTCTCATCGTGCCGTGTCCTTCAGCCCCGGCGACGAAGTCCTCCTTCTTACACGCACTAGCACTCCTGGCCTGTGGGAGAAGTTTCAACTACGTTTCACTGGCCCCTACAGTGTCTTGGAGCAAACGTCTCGTGTCAATTATTGTGCGCCACCCGTTCTTTTTCCAACGAACCGCCGCTGCCGGGCAGCAGAAATAGTCTACGTATCCTGCATAAAGCCTTTCACACAGCGTTTTTCTTCGCTTTAAACTGCGGCCAAGAATTGCGGTCAGGATGACCGCTTTTTGGAGGGAGGGAAGTTAGTTTAGGCATTCATTAAGCACATTTACTTTCTTAACACATGTCCATCATCGTGAGTGTTGATCATCTTCATTTGCCGTGGGAACTTGGCTTGCCTGGGTTCTGTGCCTCTGCTGCGGTCGCTTCATCTTGTCTTCTAGGCCTAGTAAAGGTTTCCTTCACCGTTGCATCACAATATGCAGTGTGGTATAAATAAACTTTCACTTGAGAGTGTGCATTTGTCCTTGTCCTTTTCCTGTCCGTGCTTTGTACCGCGTAGCATATTTACTCATCATAACTCACTCCGGGGATATGCTGAGACACCATTCTTATTGACAGGCAAAGAAATTCAACTGACAACTACGAAGACTAAGACGACACATGAAAAAGCACCCATGGTGTAGGGAGCTTCACCTTTTGAAGAACCGCTCCTAATAGGTTAAGGTGAATGAATAGCGATATATCGCGATAAAAGGTTGTTGCCACAAATGAATTTTTGTTGCACCAAGTGTTATTCAGGTGCACAAGTATTAAGTTATCACTCAAAGGAAGGCAAAATGGTGAACAGGGAAACACAGCTGCATGGTTTCATAACGGACTTCGTTTAGAGCAATACATGACGTTTGCCTTGCAGCTGTCGAAATGTCGCAAACTAGATATTGCTGTTCTGATATCTAAACTGTCGACTGTGGTAATATATGGCTAATGGTCCGAGCCTTGCATCGATTCCAATAATGTGCGAAGAAATGTTTGGTTATCATTCGTTGTGAGCAAAAGTGCTCTAAAAGGGTAAAAAAACGTGAAAAAGTTAAATAAGTACACTACAAAAACAGAGCACAAAGATTAGAAACACGTCATGATAAATTTGACTTTATGATTTTTCAGGTGAAAGCTCACTGTTTTTTTTCTTCAAGAAATAGTCACGTTGGCTGAATGCCGCACCTTCGGTTTGTGATACAATAATTTGCAGAAGTGTTACACTTCAGCACGGTACCATCGAAACTTAGCCCCACAAGCCCAAGTATTGCAAGGTTGCTGCACCAAACAAGGAGACAATGTTTTTCGACGGTCAGCCATTCTAGTCTCAACTTGCCTCCGAAATCACAGCTCTCCGATTGAAGGATAAGAATGTTTAGTGCCTCATCAGCATCGCATTACAGAGATTCCTGAATGAGCGCTTACGCAGGGCTCATCGCTGGACCAATATGCCAAAAGATTGGAGCTGTCCCCGTCCTGCATGCAGGCTGCGTAATCATGTGGTTGTCGCTGATCGCCAGTAGCTTCTCACCGAACATTGCGTGGCTGGCTATCACTATGGGTGCATTATTTGGTGAGTAAAAATAGTACTGCTCTCCAATAATTTGCTACCTTGAAAAATTACTTTTTTATGATTATCGCATCTTCAACCGAAGGACTGTCAACGCATTATAGTTACTAGAATGAACACACCAAATCGCACTCAACTTTATAATGATTGATTGATTGATTTGTGGGGTTTAACGTCCCAAAACCACAATATGATTATGAGAGACGCCGTAGTGAAGGGCTCCGGGATCTTCGACCACCTGGGGTTCTTTAACGTGCACCCAAATCTGAGCACACGGGCCTACAACATTTCCGCCTCCATCGGAAATGCAGCCACCACAGCTGGGATTCAATCCAGCGATCTGCGGGTCAACAGCCGAGTACCTTAGCCACTAGACCACCGCGACGGGGCAATCGCATTCAACTTCAACGCCTAAAACAATTAGGGAGTTTTGTATTACTTTGACGCCTTTTGTATGCATGACTGAACTAAGTTAATTCACTCATACGATTCAACCATGCACTCTGACGGTGCAACGATGGCAGCGGGGTAAGACGAGGGAACTGACAAAGGCCTAAAGTGATTGAAAGATAATAAATAATCATTAGCGCAAGTTGACATGAATTCATCTTTTCATACCAAGATTGATTAAAAGTATTATTTGTTTATATATTCGCTCCTTTTTTTATTTGGTACATACGCCCGCTTTCGCTATTCTTATCTTCAAGTGAACATCTGCGTTTTCATTACGAGCGTGTGAACAAATTTTTCCTGAACCAATTTTTATAGCGGAACAAATATTTCTATTTCACGGAGTATTCATAGTTACGTCAACCTCGCTGCATATTCTTGAGTAGCGTTTCCCAGATACCCGTTTATTACCTGAGATATGAAACCAACATCAGCTCACTGATCGAAGCCCTGATGCAGTTGAAAACTGAGGGTCGCAAAATGCGCGTGAAGACAATTATGCGTAGGTGCTTTTATAGTGTACAATTGCTGCAACTGCTTCTTTGCGCAGAAATGTTTGCGCGGGCATTTCTCATGAAGCTCGGAGCTGTATTTTACGATGCACGGTAAATGAAGCCGCTTGACGAAATGGTTACAGTTTTGCTGTATGTTAGGCATGTGTGATTAAAAATTAAGGTCTCTCTGAGCAGATTTACAGCGATATATACATTTCAATAAAAATGCTTTGAAGAAATAAAATTTCTAGCTGGGCAAGTTGGTTTTCAAAGTAAACTAGTGGGGACACGAAAAGACCGAACAGGGACAGGTGCAAACTTACAACTGACTTTATTGTCCGCATTCAAAGATACACCATGAAACACATTCAAATATGTCCTCATGAAACAAACATGCGCATGCGCCATGTGGTCACATGTTGAACACCAAACAGATTGCAAGATACGGAATAACTTATGCTCATCACAAAATTAAAATGCCGACGTGTCGCTCACGCAAGCATTCACCATTGCAGATATGTAGAATAATATCAACCATTGCGATTTAAGGTCAGAAAACCAGCATATTACGGAAGACGCCATATAGAGGGCTCTGGTAATTTCGACCACGTAGAGTTCTGTACCACACACCTAAATCTAGGCACAAAGGCCTCAAGCATTTGCGCCTTCATTGAAAATGCGGCTGCCGCAGCCGAGATGCCATCCCGAGACCCTGCGGGTGAGCAGACGAGCGCCTTAGCCAACTGGGCATCATGGCGGGTTGCAGATGTTTAAAAGAAAACCTCCATCAGTTTGCAGGCTCTGATGTATCCGCTATTAGCCTACATCATAATCTTACCAAAAATCGGTGAGCACGTGCAAGTGAGGCAATGCGCTGGCAAATGTACATGGCTTAGTGACGAAAAATGAAAGTAGGTTCAGAGTTCACTCCTGCCTCTTTTCGGTCTTTGATGCTTTGTACCAATCGTCTTGGTGCAATTGACCTTGGTGCTTTGTAGCAATCGCCTATTTTAAAATATGTGACAAATGATTGTAGATAAATTTATCTATATTTGTGAATCTTTGTGTCGTGCACCAAAGAGTAGATTGTCTTGCAACTTTTTTTTATTCCCATTGACACCAAGTTGCTCATCAGAGATTGTGTCGTCATTATTACTACGTCCTAAGTACTAAGTACTCGTAACACTAACACCTTTATACTAAGTACTCGTAACAATAATATTTATCGTAGTCACTGCTACCTGCGTGGTATTTTTTCTCTTAATTTACTTCTCTCACAAATAAATTGAAGCAGTTAGCTAAGAATTAGGCTAGATAGAGTGAATAACTTATAATCACGTCTCAACAACCATATGTCAAATCACAACCTGATTTCATTATTTTTTATTTTTTTCTTAGGAACTGGCAGTGGTACGACGTTCATGACACTGCACGTACTAGTGAATCAACGTTTCCAAAAATACGCCGGGCTTGCGCTGGGTATTATGTACACCGGTTGCACGGCATCTGCCTTCATCTTTCCGAGGCTCCTTCTCTTCCTTGCCAATACCTATGGATTTCGAGGAAGTGTGCTAATATTCGGTGGCGTAGTGATGCATGCAACTGCTCTCGCCTTGTTGCTGAAGAATCCAGATACGGTACAACACAATAGAAAACTTGCAAAACCCACGGCTGCAGTTACAAAAGCAGGCATCTTCACGGTTGAAAAAGACCGGAGCAGCATCTTGGAAGATTTTCAAAAACAGGCATCCATCGACAACCAGAGGCGACCGGACCCCACAAGCCTCACATACGGCGTAACGGTGCTGAGCAGTCCCATGCTTTATGTCATTCTGTTCACGTATGTTGTGTTAAATTTTAACTTTGGCGTGTATATGACAACTGTTGTGGACTTTGCAATTGACAGGGGTTGGACTGTCGCCAGCGCTGTAAACCTTGTGCCTCTTTTTTCAATCACGGACACCGTGGGACGTCTAGGGCTTCCCGTGTTAGCAGACAAGGGATATATACGCCGCAGTACCCTGGCGATGCTGAACTATATACTCATGGCAGTCAGCATGCTTGCGCTGCCTTTCTCATCGTCTTACGCAAGCCTGCTTATGGTGTGTATGTGCATAGCAATGTTTCAAGGCTGTGGTATGCCCTTGTATCCAGCTCTCATGGCCGAGTACATCGGGATTGAAAGACTGCCCATTGGCTATGCCATCGTGGGCGCAGTGGCGGGCCCACTATACTTGTTGAACCCGCTTTTTATAGGTAAGTATTATTTACCTAATCTTACTATTAACAGCACAACGTGCATGCAAGTTCTCTCGCAATATGTTACAGCAAACGCTGTTATGAGATTACAACAGCTGATTAAGGCGCCGTAGTTGTCCGCAGTTGAATACGAAGTGTACAACCAGGCTTCCTTCAAGATGTGTAAGGGCTCGGCAAGGTACGATGCAGTGAGCTTAGAATGTAAAGGTCTCGAATTTACACTTAAAAAGGGACGACCGAAACTCACACGCAAGAAGTCAATCAATCAGCTTGCACTGAGATGGAAAGTAGAAATTCGGAAGCTTGCTTCAAAACAGACACTCGGCTCTTATCGAGGAAACCGGCCTTAGCTTTGATGCAATGAATGATCATCTAACGAGTATCATTACGAAGTGTACAGTGAAAGTTGGAGCTACGGTAGTTCGACAGGATACTAGCAAGCTGTCTCCGAAGGCAAAGCACTTCATTAAAAATGTTAAATAAATGAAATCCTTTAACACAAAACCAAAATAGAACTGGAAGAGCTTTCGAAGTTGAATAACAGGCATAACGTAGCCAATGTAAAAAGGTATAACATGAACAGAATCGGACATGCTCTAAAGAACGAAAGAAGCGTCAAAGTGGTGAAGAGGAAACTTGGGATAGGCAAAAGCTACATGTATGTATGAAGGATCAAGGAAGGCTAAGGTACTACTAATATGAATAGGATAGTTATTGTAGTGGAGGTGTTTTAGGGAGATCTAATTGGTAAGCGGGAAAACCACGACCTTTATGTATTAATTTGCAGTGACACACGTGACATCCCACCAGTAGTGATAGAAGAAATCAGGAAAGACCTGAAAAGAATGCAAAGAGACAAAGCTGCTGGTGAGAATCATGTAACATCAGATCTGATGAAAGACAGAGGACAGATTCTGCTAGAAAATCTAGCCACCCTGTTCAAAAATGTCTGCTGGTGGGGAGGTTGCCAGAATCTTGGAAGAATCCTAGCATCATCTTAATCGACAAGAAAGGGCACGACGAGGACTTGGAGAATTTGATTGATTTATATGTGGGGTTTAACGTCCCAAAGCCACTATATGATTATGAGAGACGCCGTAGTGGAGGGCGCCGGAAATTTAGACCACCTGGGGTTCTTTAACGTGCACGCAAATCTGAGCACACGGGCCTACAACATTTCCGCCTCCATCGGAAATGCAGCCGCCGCAGCCGGGATTCGAGCCCGCACCCTGCGGATCAGCAGCCGAGTACCTTAGCCACTAGACCACCGCGGCGGGGCGTTGAAGAATTTCAGGCCGATCAGCTTTTCAAGCCGATAGATTTCAGGCCAATCGTATCCGAGCTATTACAAAGAAGATTGCTAATACGATTGAGACACCACTTTAATTTAAACAGCCAAAGGCCCAGGAAAAAATTCGAACAGGCTACTCAACGATCGACCCATTGCATACTATCAATCAGGTAATACATACACAGCCTTCATGGATTACGAGAAGGCACTTTATTCAGTAGAGATATTGGTAGTCATGCAAACACTGCGGTGAGCAGGTGTCGATGAAGCACATATTAAGATCCCGGAAGAAATCTACAGAAAACCAAGTGCCATTTTACAGTTCTATGAAGTAGGTAACAGGATGCCAATATAAAGGATGTGAGACCAGGAGTAACCATCTCCGCAATGCTATTTACCGTGTGCTTACAGGAGGTTGTCGGAGTCCTAGAATGAGAATAGTTCGGTATAAAAGTTAACGGAGAGTGCATTAGTTACCTGACCTGCACCGATTACATGGCATTGCTGAAAACTCAAGGGATGAATTTCAATTCATGAATACTGAAATATACAAGAAGGGCAGAAAGATAGGTGTTCAAATTTGTCTGCACAAAACGACAGAATTGGGCAACAACCTGGGAAAAGAACAACGCTTCGAGATAAGTAGCTGGTCTCTTGAACATGTAAAAGAGTACGTTCACTTAGGAGAGGTAGTAACCGCGGAGATGAATCACGAGATTGAAGTAACTAGAAAAATAAGAATGGGGTGGAGCACATTCGGCATCCATTCACAAATCATGACTGCTAACTTGCCACTATCCTTCCTGAGTAACGTATATAACAGCTGTACCTTCTCGGTACTTACCTGCGATGCAAAAACCTGGAGGCTCACGAAGAGGGTTCATCTTAAACTCAGGTCGTCGAAGCGAGCAATGAAAAGGAAACAGATAGGTGTAATTCCACGAGACAAAAAGAGAACAGAGTTGGCCCGGGAAGAAGCCGGGTAGAGAATAATAAACTTAGGAACAATAAATAACTGCCGACTGAGCTGTAGTTTCGGCGGTAAAAAAGGTGATCCCTAATAGCGAAGTGTTCTGCATGGGGGCGAAGTGTTCTGAAAACTGGAGTGGGCATCCAGTTGGAGTCAAAAGGAAAGAAATCCAAGCTTCATTGCCTTGCTCGGAAGGCATGTTAGAAATGCTGATAGCCAGGGCAGCATAGGCGGAGATAGACGAGCAGACAAGCTCTGAAGCTAACGGCGAGCGTGACAGGGCATCAGCGTCGGAACGCTTCTGGCCAGAAGGGTAGGTAACACGGATGTCAAATTCCTGTAACCGCAATGCCCAACGAGCCAGCCGACCATAAGGATCTTTCAGTGAACATAACCAGCAAATTGCGTGCTGGTCTGTGGCAATATCAAACGGAAGTCCATATAAATAGGGCCCCAAATTTTCGATTGTTCAAATATTGGCGAGGTACTCCTTGTCTGTGATACTGTAATTTTTGTTGGCTTTTTTGGGGGTGTGGCTGGCATACGCAATGATGTACTCGTCAAAACCATCCTTACGTTGGGCCAATATGGCCCCTAGCCCGACACCACTAGCGTCCGTATGAACGTCTGTTTCGCAGGCGGATTGAAATGTCGGAGTATCGGAGGCGTAGTGAGGAGCCGTGGGAGTTGCCGAAATACATCTTCCCACGCCTATGACCACGCTGACAAACCAGAACTTCCGGCCAGAAGATTGGTTAAAGGGGCGATATGAAATGGAGAACGTAGCGCCGGAAGTACGAGCATAGGCTGATGAAACCTCGGAGCTCTTTGATGGTGGTTGGTTTTGGCAACGCCGCGACTTCGTAAGGTTTTGTAGGGTCGGGAAAATGCCGTCCTTAGAAACCACAACCCGAGGATTACAAGTTTGCGAGCACTGAAGTAGCATTTCTTAATGTTAAGTTGAAGTCCCGCCAGAGGGAGGCCCTTACGAACTTGCTCGAGGCAGCTGAGGTGTGTCCTAAAGTCGCTTGAAAATACCACGTTATTAATCAAATAACAGAGGCACGTTTTTCATTTCAGACTGCGCAGAATGGTATCCATCATTCTTTCGAAAGTTGTAGGCCCCTTAGAGAGGCCAAAGGGCAAAACGGTCAATTCATATAGTCTATCCAGTGTTACAAAAGCTGTCATCGGGTGGTCATATTCTGCCATAGGCACCTCCCTGTACCCGGAGCGTAAATCTAACAAAGAAAAGAACTCTTCGCCTTGCAGGCAGTCCAAAGCATCATCGATGTGAGGCAGAGGGTATACGTCTTTGCATGTTATCTTGTTGAGTCAGTGGTAGTCAACGCCGAACTGAATGGATCCGTAATTTTTCTTGACGGGAACTACCGGTGAAGTGCATGGACTTTTGGAGGACTCGATAATGCCACGTTTAACATATCGTCCACTTGCTCACCAATGACGTGGCGTTCAGCAGATGACACATGGTACGGACGCTGGCTTAGTGGGGCTTGTGGACCGATTTCAATACGGTGAAGGAACGAGGAGGTTCGGTCTAAGCCGGACTGGTCGCAATCGAACTAAGAGTGGAAACAGAGTAGAAGTTCAATGATCTCTTGGCGCTGCGTTGGTGTGAGCTGGAAGTCGATGGTATCCGAGATGACGACCAGAACATCATGAGGCACGTTAGTAGAGGTGACAGCAGAAGTTGGAAGCAAAACCGTAGAATCGTGTATAGTAGCTGGAACAATGCACTCGTAAAGTTCGTAGCTTCCCAGGTATTCTCCACGTAATAGGAATGATGGGCTGTCCGACACACACAATAATGACCACGTGACCCTTGCGGAAATTAAATGCGGCAAACGGAAGCATGATATTTTGGTGGCCCGCAGAAGTGACTGATGGCATAAAAACCACCGGCGATTTCGGAGGAGAGGCACGTGACACCGGAACAACATCAGCTCTGAAAGGCGCAATGTCAACATAAGAAGCAGCAAACACTCCACACAAAGTGCCATCATCGAAGTCATAGCACGGCACAGGTGAAGCAAATTCAGAACGAGCACAGTCGACCAAAATGGAATTTGATGAAAGTCCCACCCAAGGATAACATCATGCGAAGAACGGAGTAAAACTACAATTGCGACCACGTACATCGATTCTTGAATGACGACTAGCACAGTGCACAAAGCTCAACGCTGAACATGGTGGCACGTAGCCGTCTGCAAAGATAGGTCCGTAAGCGGAGTGGTCACTTCCTTTAGGTTTTGGCTGAGTTTCTCGCTAACTACGGATAAGGCAGCTTCAAAGTCAACATGTCCATGCACATTAATGCCATCAATGTAGAGTTCGATTTCGTTCAGGGGATAGCAGTTAGGCCTGGAACTTTTCGCCGCCAATGCAGTTCTTCCTTCCAGAACTGCGCTCATCAGTTTTCCCCTCACGGTGAGCTCTTGCGGCGTAACATTGGAGAACTTGATCAGCTACGAGGAGAAGGCATCGACTTGAGCCGTATGGTTGGCGACCGGGACGTACGTATTGGTGTGGATTGGCAGGAAAGGGATATCGCGCCTGAGTAGACCTTTAGTGTGAGGTCCCTGCAATTCTACGAGAAGCGAAGCTGCGAGGGGGGCAGTAACGAGCTACGAGACCTGGGATGCCACATGAAAAACATGTCAGCCGATTATCAAGAGTGCACCATTAGGTTACGGTGGGGGCACAGTTCACCGAACAAGGTACAGTAAACGGCCGTGCAGGAGGTGGCGTCATATATACGTTCCGAGTTGTTTTGTATACAGCGGGAGACGAGACGGTGAACGGGCGGACAGGTGGCGTCGACGAATAAACGATGTGAGTTGCTTTGTAGATAACCGGAGACGATTGAGCAAGTGGCCGCGCAACAGCGGCTCGATACGTTAGTGGTGCGGCAACAGATGGTGCAGCCTGAGCTGGCGGCAAAGCTTCGGCACCTTGCGACTCAATAACCTGGCGAAGCGAAGGTGACAAGGGTGCCATTGACTCGGTTGTTCTCGTAAATATAAATAGCTGCTGGGCGAAGTCCTCCCGTATGAATTTCTGTATGAGTCGCATGAAAGCAGAGTGGTCAGCAGTGTCATGGCGCAAGTCGAGGGATGAGCAGTCCGTGGTGTCTTGAGCAGCGCAATGTGTGGAAGCGCGCTGCCTACGCAGTTAATCTTATCTCTGGCAGAGCTTAATCACCACGGTGACCACCTGGGGACACTTCGCAGCAAGCATCCGGAATGCGCCGTTGTCGATTCCTTTCGTGATTTCTTTGATCTTGTTTGCCTCGTCGAGAGTGAAGTTGACGAGCTTGCAGAGAAAAAGCACATATGCGATTCAGCTTGTAAAAGTGTCATCTGTTCTCTGTACTCTGCCACGCAAGCGCTGTTCAGCACGAAGCCGGCGGAAAGCAGGACGGCCAAAGACTTCCGACAGGTTTTTTTGCCGATTCGAACCAGGTACTGAAATCATTTTGGTGATTCCGGTACTAAAGTTTCGCAAAGTCGGTGAGGTAAACGTTCACATTTGCGAGCTTATCGGCAATGTTCCACCTATTGTACGCGCTCACCAGTTCGTGCTGGGCAATGCAGTCATCCACATTTTGGTAGTCTGTGCCGCCAAACATGGGGGGGGGGGGGGGTCGCGCTGACCGATAGCACCAGGGCAGAAGACAGGTACGGGTGCGTGACCTGGAGTGGTGCTCTGAGATTGCCCCGGACCAGCCATTGCAGAAGGTTGTTGAAGAGACCGGCTGGAAAGCTCCAGGGTGAGAACCAGATGTATCCCAGCAGGTCCACCACTTGAAACGGGAGTTTGAACAAGCAGGAGTTTACTCGGTGAACGAGAAATTTATTTACTGCAAGGGCTAACTGGGTGCAAGCCTGTGATCACAGAACGTGTTTTTCTTACTCCACTCGAGCTCCGTGTTTACTGCCCTCGTTATAGTTCATTCATAGTTCTCTCAACAGCCCCTGCATAAACATTGTGCACATAATGCCTTACAAGGGAGTAGCCGTTACCGCAAGCCTCCGAAGAGCGACTGAAAATGCGATAATAGGTGCCTCCTCACTTCACTAAAAATCCAGGAGTTTATGGCATAATAGGTTCTGCTGCTGTTGTTGTTGTTGTTGTATTTGTTGTTGTTGTTGTGCAAGTGTACTTGCAGTCGTCGTGCAAAGAATGCCTAGCCAGGCCCTTGTTCATCAGTTTATTACTCAAGGGAAAACGAAATAGTGAACTGTAAAACATAGAAGCCTCGTTTTGATAAATGAGTGCGTGTAGAATAACAAACAATCTTTGCTGTGTAGCTGTTGCACAGGATATGTCATCAATGACGCCCCGAGTCAGGGCTTGCGCTATCAATTCACAGTGAATAGGGATGCAGTTCAGGTGGATCGAAAACCTAGTCTGGAATATCTGTAGGTGTTTGCGGACAAGCTGCACTAGTAAGACGGCCACATGGTTTTTTTGGCTTTACACCAGCTGGAGCTGAGCAACAGCAATTAAAAGCTAAGATTAGAGCTGTAAATCAACGCATGAATTGTGTGTCACAGTCGAAGACTTTACTTCAGAGCTACGTCACTGCTTCAAACTTCTTCAGAACATACTAGTACGGGTGTTATGTCGCGCGAACGATCACGTTTACAAGTGTAATATTGCGTGGCCGTAAGCTGAATCACAAAAGGCATCATATAGAAAAACTGCCATCAGGAGCGGGCAATTCTATTTTCTATCCTCATCAATTGATGATGATAAAAATATTATAGCATGGTAAACCACAGCAGTAAAAACTGTTCAGCTTTGAACGCCGGCATATTGCAAAATGATGAATTATGATGTAGTGGGTAGTTTGCTTCTTCAAAAACACATGATGACTGGTGATGTAGTTGGCACCTGGTAACCAAGGCTGGCCAGTATTGAGATACAAGAGTATCGTGTCGGTATCTTGCAATTACTTCACAGTGTCTCTGCTTCTGAACCAAGATACATGAGCGAAATGAGTTTGTATTTTAGCAGTGGAATACCAGGTGTAAATTTCTAAAAACAACGTGATACTAGCTACCAATTCGTTGAAAGCTAGTATCACGTTGTTTTTTGGTCGGAATTATCCAACGTGTTAGCAAAAGAGAACAGGACACTTATCTGTGCGGAGCAAAGAAAATGCGCGCAACATGTAGGCGACACATGGAGGATGGCGAAGGTTTTCCTACATGCACAAAATTGTTCATGTGGTAAAATGGGTAGCGCCACTTACTGTAGAATCTTCTAGGCAGCAGTGTTAGTTAGCCGTACTGACAAATTCGCACTCTCTATGCAGCATTTCTAAGGTTCTTTTTTTTTTGGCGGCCAGACGATTCGTGAGTTCGCGAGTCCTGTGTTCCAGCCTAAGCGGCGCTGCCTAGAAGCTGTGTCAAAAGCTCTTTCGAGGCAGTTAACGAAACAATCTTCTGAGTGAAGCAGATCCGTTGTGTTAAATAAGTGCATGCTTTCTCTTGGTCAACTGGCATTTCTTTGAAATTCAGGCTATATTGTTCACTTGCACGGTTCACTACGATGGAATAATATTAGAAGTATTATATTGCACTTAACGTCTTCTCGACGTTAGCCAGGCAAAGAAACTGACCTTCATACGGACACGACGCTTGCTCCCCCTTTACTATGAGCATTGCCGAACTAAAATGTATTCCAGTGATTGTTTACGTCCTTCTATATCTGCGTTTTTGTATCTCTCTTTTTGATTACCTCTTTGTTTTGACGCCAATGTATCTCCGAGGTACTTCGTTACGTCAAAGAGGAATGTATAACTATCTCCACCTTAGACTTCCAGCGCAGGTACTTCGGTATGTGTATTCCAGAATAATTCTAAAAGTAGGCACCCTGCGAGAGCTTGGAAGTAGCTTCGATGAGGCTGCTTGTCTAGCACATGCCGCAACTGTCCCGGTTTCACGGAGGGTTGATGCTTTTCGAGGCAAAAGCTTCAATTTTTGCTCATAAGCGTCGTGGGAGACCCCGAAAAAGAAACCGTGAAGCGGCCCGAATGCGAAAATTGGGCACCTCAGGGTGGCACTCGCACTGGTTATGTTGGCAATCGAAAAGTCTGAACGCTTTCTGCACCATCTAACATGCTTTCGCACTGTGTCCTGAATAGGAAGCATTAGAAGCTTTATACACTTCGCACAGTTTTAGGCTGCCTCAAGGACCGCCATGCCTTGAATTATGCTGGAGTATGCTGGGATAACATCACTACGTATTAATATTACACACATTATTGCACGCATGACATCACGTTGGGTGTTCCCTTAGGACAAAGTAGAGCCAAACTCAACGACAAAAATAATACAGCTTCTCGTAAGCAACCCTTCATCTCTCCAATAGGTATGTTTGTCGTATTTATAATACGCATTCCACCACCTAATGTTAGAAACATTGAAGAGAAATAGGAACTTACCTGGTGATTTACGTGACACAAACACAATAGCTGAGGCACGCTTTACAGTGGAATGGTCCGTAATATTTCCACCACCTGGTGCTCTTCAATATGCACTAACATGACACAGTACACCAGCCTTTACAATTTCACATCTGTCGAAATGCAACCACCGCAGCCGAAATCGAGCCCACAGACTTTTCTTGAGCAGCCAAACCCAAAAAACTGTACCATAGAGGCCCACGTGTAAACGTGCTGGAGTAATACACCCTCAGTTACAAAGTAAGATGTCGGGACTTCATTACCGTGCAGAAACTGTGACATTAACAATTAAGGAATATCCTGACTTTTCCTTCACCTTGTGGAACCTCAGGGCAGCTTGATGTCCACGCTCAGGCATCGTATTCTTCACTGCTATTGAACTTACACAATGGCAGTAAACTATTGACAGGAACACACAACGTCTGGAGAAATTACAATGTTTCATTATAAGACACATGTACTGTTCATTATAAGACACATATGCTTTAAAGGCAACATAAACATTCTTTTTTGTAATACGCTTGCTAATTACTGCATTTTGCGCTAATTTGAATTGTTCTTTCCCAACTTGTTTGTATAGGACACTTCAGAGACAAGATGGGTTCTTACGACAACATGTATAGGACTCTAGCAATAACTTTGGCCTTGGTCGGGATGACCTGGTCGGTTGTTGTTTGTGCCGAGAGGAAGAGAACAAGAAGGTGGAGTGGGAGCTACAACAAAGAAGAAAGCATGTACATCACCAACACATCTCTTGAACGGTCGGGAAATTACCAATCCTTTCCAAGGTCGTAAGCGCAGGTGCTTAAATTAATGTTCTGAATGAATGGGGAAGTTGTATTAGCAATGGTGGGCTTATATTCTCAAAGCGTGAAGGTTGTCAAGTTACGGTTTGCAATATCAGCTTTCGGATGGCAATTAACATTGCAATTTTACACGAAAAGGAACAGATGACGTGAAGAGTGTGTCATAATATTCTCCATGACATTCATATAAAAGACATGACTGAAAGCACTGCCAGAAAAATGGCAGGACTAAGAGAAATCTACATCTTTGCGTAACAGGAGAGGTAGGAAAATTTTAGGGTTTGTTTCTTCATTCAACAAAACCCTAATGAGGCTTGGCAGATAATTTAGCAAAGGAAAGTATGGGCAAGTTTATTTGCACCGCTTCATTGTGTTGCATCAATTGTGATATAGACGTAAAGAAAGTTAGACAGACGAAAAAAAAGCCCCCAGCTGGGGCCAGAGCTTGCAGGTGTAGCCTTTTCTGGTGGTGAGTTCCATTAGTGTGGTGTCAAGAGGAAAGTTTAAAAAAACGAACAGCATGACATGCGAATGGGTAAAAAAGTGTCTTGTACGAATTACAGTGTACCATTTGCTGACAACGAAGCAACGACCACAAGAGAGAAGGCAGGAGTATTAGCCAGGCACACACCTGGTTGCCTACCCTACGCTGAAAGAATGGGAACGGGGAAGTATAAATAAGAAAGACATAATGAAAATTTGCGAACTAGAGTCAAAATAACACTGCAATGAATAATAATGAGGTTTCACATAAGAAAACCACCATGTGATTATTGAAGAAACCACATTAGAAGGCTCCGCAAGTTTTGACCACATGGCGTTGCTTGATGTTCACCTAAAAGAAGCAGGCAAGCCTGACGCATTTTCACCTCCATCGAAAATGCAACTGCCGCAGCTGCGATTTTGTTTTTGGACCGATGAGGAAACCATCAAGTACTATAAACACTACACAACCATGGCGAATAAGCATAGCCGATGAGTTCGCAAAGCACTAGAAATTTCCCTCTGAACCCTTAATGAAACCTTCATTCAGGTATATCACAAGATATAAACCACCACCTCGGGGCATTGTACACACTACGCTATTCGTCCACTTTGGCACATCACGGGGTTGACGTGCCTATTACGTCGGTGCAAGGCGCGTGTAAATACATGGTTGTTACTTCAAGCGAGGCAAAATCAATGATTTAGATGGAAACGTGTTATGTGGTTTGGTTTTTCGAGAATCAAGATGGCAACGGGAGCTTGCAAGCTATGTACACAATATGCATGTAAAGCACTCGAATTTCTTTTTGTCCTAAATGCAAGCGTAACTCAAATAAATTTGTTTATCTATACTTGTTTTGCGATATTGTTCATATCAATGTTTCCCGCATACTTTTGCCATCAGCAATGCCTGTATCAGCTCACAACACATGTAATATTTCAATTTCGGTAATTACAGCTATATATATTCTACATATTTTCAAAGGCGTTCTCCACCTCAAAAGTAGTTATGAATAGAGCCTTTTTTCTTTTTTTGAGAGAATTCGAACGTGTTTCTTGAAATTCCGCGTGTGTATGCTATATTTTTTTACTTAGTTCTTCATCAAGTGAATCATTTTGAAATTTACACTGGAAAGACGAATACTTATAAGAACGTCAGTTTCATTGCAACCTCAGCTTTCATAGGTGCCCCTTTTCCTATTACCTTGTTATGCCGAAAGTACAAGCTTATTTAGGTGTCCGGCTAGAGCAGACAAACTCAACCTAAACTGAATTGACGTAATAAAATAAGGTAGTGTAAAAGTTGTAAACTACGAAGCAAATGAAACACCAGAGTTCACCTGAAACACACTGGAACATAAGTATGCTCACTGATACACAACTAGTAGGCGAACGTCAATCAGCTGCCAGATCTGAGGACTGAACAGTTGGCAAGATTTTCTGCCCATAAGTGTAGATCACGTGCACTAGTTCACAATTTAACGTACTGTAGGACCCCCATTGGTCCCGTGGTATATGATACAGGAACAGCTCTTAACGTGAAAGGGTTATATGGCTGAGGAGCATGAAAATTTATCCTGGTAGGTGACAATACAAACATTAAAAAAGTACCATAGTACAGTGGGAAGCGCGCTAGCCACTCCTGCAATCACACTTCTGTAAAAATGATTGTTGCAGTGTGACCAACACAATTATAGAGTGGTAATGTTAAGCAAGCACAATACTCGCTCTTCCCCGATACGCACTCTGAAGTAGTGAGTTGGCATCATTACTTCAAAAACAATAGTGATATCATGCCGGCATAGGTAATGCATATTTCTTACATGAAAATTCGGCAGTGAATAAATCAATCACCTTCAAATACAATGAAAGCTAAGGATTGATAAGGTTTAGGTGAAAAGGTTTACAAAACGTCAACGAATGCCTGAAGTCCTCGAAATATGTTTTCCTTGAACATCGATGCAATAAAAATTAGTTCTCTTATGGCACTCTTTACTACTGTTGTTCTTAAGAGCTCAGCTGCGCCGTGTCCGATGCCGCGGTCGCTCTACAAGCACCAAGAACTTGTCCATACCAAAGTTAAAGCACCTGGCTCCGGGGTTAAAAAACGTAACGTTTACCTGTTTCAAACTGTTTCCGACGAAATGGTGTGCTTGTATGTGAAAATTGCGAACGCTGTTAGTAAAGGATCTCATAACTTCTCTACATGATGCTATTTTGACACGCTCATAGGAGCATTTTATGAGCGCTTTATTTTTCGGTGGATCAGTGACACAGGGTAGTCCAGTGTATTAAACTGCATTTAATCAAAATAAAAACTTATTGTTGCTTTGTTTCCAAGAGTGGTAACGTAACGAGGTATTCTCAAGACGGTCACTGCTGGAAAAAAAAGTCTCACAGTAAAAAAAAAAAAGCTGATACTTTTGGGTTCGACCCCTGTTGCCCTGCCAGTATGTAAAAAAATGGCCAGAACTCCCTGAAGGCAATTGTGAGAAAATGCATTCCCCTTGCGCCGTGAGAGGGTACCATTGTCGTCAGACATTCACATTCACCGACTTCTGTCATCGCCTTAAGAGGCGCCCAGCCATCGAAGGGTCGAAGTGAGGATTTAACGGGCTGAGAATGAGGCACCAGCATTCTCTGCTTAGCGTTGGCGTTTCACAGTGGCATCTGCAAAACAAATTTCCGGATGATCTTCAAATTTCCGGATGATCTTTGACCATTAGCCCAGCAAGCTAATGGTCGAGAGTGGTAGTGGTTAGAGCAAGAAGGCACCTAATTTCTGCAGCCTGGCAGGCAGCACGGCGAAGGCCTGTGGGAAGGGAGAATGAAGAAAAAGTGGACAGGAGAAAAAAAATTTTGCTGAGCAGTGGCGCCGTCGTATTCAGCACGAACAGTAATCCCGCAGGAAGGTTACGCGTGACTTGGGTCGTTTTCTCCGCGACAGGCCGCGATGCCCTTCTCGTTCAGGAACTCCGCCAGGCACCGAAGCGCTGGTGGATGGAGACGAGACGGGAAGAGCAGGTTCTCCAGGGTTGTGGCAGGAAGGCCCATATCTCCTATAGGTCGTTGTGACCCTCGAGCATTCCTGTGACAGAGCACAGCACCCAGATAGGTGGTGCTCGAGGGTCTCGGGGTCGCCACAGCGGCTGCATGCTGGGGAGGCACACCGTACCTTGAGGTAGTGGAGGGCCGTGGTTCACGCGCATCCAGTCCGCAGACGCAACAGGTCAGCTCGTTCCCTCCTGGTGAGGCCTGTCTCCGGGAGAAGCTTGAGTCCCCGCTCATTGGGAACCCTCTGGTCCAGGTGTACTGAGGTGAGGATCTCCTTCATGCGAGCTTGCGAGAAGGCCTTGGCTGCCACAACCTGGGCGATTGGGGTTCCCAACTGGTGTGCTGCGTTGGCAAGGCTGTCCACTTTCTCATTTCCATCATCAGTAAGTGTCGTTGTAGCGCACAGAAACAACAGGAAAAAATGAAGGCACATGTAGACAGACCAAGCGTTCGCGTCGCATTTCTCGTGAACCTGCGCCCCTGTGAAAGGGCAGCAGGTGATGGACGTCCAAGTCGCCGCAAGAGCCTAGTACTTGGATGCCAGAAGGCTCCCCGTGATGCCGGCATGGCGGTGGTTGGCCAGCGTCTGCAGGACCATGTTGCTATCAGACAGGACTGCAACCGGCTCAGCAGGGAGAGAGTGAGACGCCAGTGGACGGTAGAGGGGGTGAAGAGAGGAAAGAGATAGAACAGCGAGAGAAGAAGGGGCGAAGCACTGCACCAATCCTCTCTAATACTCTCTCGCACCACACCCTGGTTAGTAGGGGTGAGGTTAAGTGAGCGCGCACACAGCTATTGCTATGGGATGGGGATTGAGAGCGGAGAGGTAACACTTGCTGTCGTGCGGACACCGCCGCAGATAACGCCCAGTGCCTGACACAGCCCGACCAAGAAATGCATACGGATTTAAAAATTGCGCAGCTTCAGTTAAGCTGCTCGGTCTTCGACTAATTCTGGCCTGAAAAGGCACACAATCATTCACAAGCTTTTACTCGACGTGTTGCCGTAATCACGTTGTAGATCACGAGTATTGTCTAGGCAGAGATCTGGCGCAATCGGATGTTGCTTCCAATCAGGGCACCAAGCATTTCAGTTAGTTTAAGTCTCTGTTTCATTTTCGTTTCCGTTTCAGTTATTTTCTATTTTGCTTGCTCTTGTTTGCACCGCTTTATCTATTTTGCCGTTTTCTTATTTCTCTGTTTCATGGGATCTGTTTCCAACTCTGTCTGCAATTTGCTCTAAATTTCTTCCGTTTCACTTTTTCTATTTCTTTCTCTCTTTTTGCTCCTTCCCTTGCCCGCAGCAACGTAGAGAGGATTTCTTTCTGGAGAACGGGGGAGGGGTAAGCTCCTTGACCTTATTGGTCACTGGACTAATTATATGGGTGGAGGGAGGTGGGCACAGGCCTTTCGAATAATCCGCAGGCTAGTCAATGCTTGCCCGTGCTAGTTGGTTCGACCCACGCCGGATAAATCTGCACAGAGGGAGAGCACGTGCCGGGGGAACGTGATGATGGCTTGTTGCCTATATCCTCAAATGGACAAATGAAGGGTCTAGCATCGTTGCTGTAATGATATTACTACGAAAGATTTCAGTTGAAGGTTGAAAAGCAGAAATTTCCGAATGGTCGGCAAATATTGCGAATGCAGAAGCAAATGTCGTTCTTTTTTTCACATTTTTTCGATCTGTTCATCCACTTTATCTGCGTCATTCATTGCAAAAGCCCGTGATAATATGCACCAAAGTGGCTGGTGTCCTTAAACTTACCGCAGCTCAAAGTTGCCTTTGCTATGATGCATTTATTTTTATTCCGAATATAATAACC